ATCATCATCATCATCCTCAACATCATCATCATCATCATCATCATCATCATCATCATCATCATCATCATCATCATCATCATCATCAGCATCAGCATCATTCTCATCATCATCATCATCATCATCATCATCATCATCAGCATCAGCATCAGCATCATCGGCATCATCATCATCAGCATCAGCACCATCCTCATCCGCATCCTCATCAGCAGCAGCATCAGCATCATCATCATCATCATCATCATCATCGTCATCATCATCATCATCAGCAGCAGCATCACCATCATCATCATCATCATCATCATCATCAGCATCATCATCAACAGCATCATCATCATCATCATCATCATCATCATCATCATCATCATCATCATCATCATCAGTATCATCATCATCATCATCAGCAGCAGCAGCAGCATCTTCATCATCATCAGCATCATCGGTATCATCATCAGCATCAGCATCATCGTCATCCTCATCCTCATTAGCCGTAACATCTTCAGCATCATCAGCATCATCAGCATCATCATCATCTTCCTACTCATCATCATCATCATCATAATCAGCATCATCGTCATCATCATCAGCATCATCATCATCAGCATCAGCATCAGCATCAGCATCATCATCATCAGCATCATCATCATCCTCATCCTCATCCTCGTCCTTATCCTCATCAGCAGCAGCATCAGCAAAATCACCATCGTCAGCAGCAGCATCATCATCAGCATCAGCATCTCCCTCCCCCTTCTCCACCTCCGCCTCCGCCTCCGCCTCCTCCTCCTCCTCCTCCTCCTCCTTTCCTCCTCCTCCTCCTCCTCCTCGTCATCCTCCTCCTCCTCCTCCTCCTCCTCCTCTCCTCCTCCTCTTCCTCCTCCTCTCCTCCTCCCCCCCCTCCCTCCTCCTCCTCCTTTTCCTCCTCTTCCTCCTCCTCCTCCTCCTCATTTTCCTCCTCCTCCTCCTCCTCCCTCATTATTATTATCTCATCCTCCTCCGCATCCTCCTCCCCCTCCTCCTCCTCCTCCTCCTCCTCTTCCTCTCCTCCTCTCCTCCTTCCTCCTCCTCCTCCTCCTCCTCCTCCTCCTCCGTTGCAAAGTACAAGCCCTGAGCCTACCTCCCTGTGCCGACTTACTTATGACAGGAGCCCCGTACATACTGTCTATATTATGTAAGTCCGCGTTCCCTGGCGTAGCAGGTCCCTTGTTCATGTTTCTCTGTTCGTAGCCTAGCCACGCTTAGTCTCCCCAAGGTGCCCTAGACAGCCCCGAGCCCTAGAGGCTTCTTTATAAGTGTTTCACACGTTCCCCAGACGTTTTCTCCGAAACCGTCTTGGCTCAAGCCTTTTACAGCGACAACAGGTCGCTGGACTCCTGGTGTGCGCCTGTGAGGCGCAAGACTGCGAGCTGGCCCGCCACAGCCCAAAACAGCTCCCTTCTATCACCATCGCGCGTCCAGCGACGCGCTTCCCCCACCGCCCGCGCTCCCACATCATCGAGATCGAGAGTGACAAGCACATCGCCCGGAGAATAGAGGAGGATAGCATCCAAGGATTCACCAGAAGGCAATGATTCGAGGCGGGACCATTGCATGGTAGCGGAGCTCTCGAGCTCCACGGACGTACAACATGATGAAGAATTCCGGTGGCAGCACTCCTAAGTGGAATGGTGGCCCTCACCGCGGTGGACGATTACGAAAGAGAAGTGAAAGCCTACATTCGTGGGACACGACGTGACGAGCGCTACGTATGTGGACCGATGCTCTGGCGAAAGCTAGAGAGCCGCGCTCGACAGGCAGCCAAAGATACCGATTGGGACAGGCTCGAGGCTGACAACGGGCTGGAAAATATCTGGCGAGATGAATCTTCGACCTGCGCAGGGATAACGGCGAGCCAATGCCGAGCTACATCAGCAGGGACGACGAAGCGTACCACGATGTGGTCAAGGGCTTCGACACGGAGTATTTCAAGCGCCAAAGGATGGAGCGGTTGTCGGCCCGGGCCAAAGAGTGGAACTCTCTCTATCAAGAGCTGAACTGGTTCCTCAACCAGATAGTGCACGAGGGCCCAGACGATGCCGCTGACGAGGCCAATAGACTCGACAACTGGCTGCGGAACTTCACGAAGACGGGCCTCGAGGAGATGCCAGAATATCTGGACTTTGGCACGAACTGCCAGCAGGCGATCCCACTGGATCAACTACGCGGGTGGCTACTTCTACAGCGCTCGCGGCTCACGCCGACCGAGCGCGCAGCGGTCATCAGCGCCGTCGAGGAGACCTCTGACTACGAGAGTATCGGCGAGCAGCTGCGAGTACCGTGGCCAGATGACGAGCTGACGAACCGCGACAGAAAGGAGAAGGAGCACCAAGGCCGCCAGCGAGACCGCGGACGCATTCACGCTGGATGGGAACAATGCGAAGACGAACCAGACGCTGAAGAGCACATCTACCACGAACAGTCCGAGACGTCAGTCGGCACCGAGAACGAGGACGACAACAACCCGGAGGAGCCGCTCTAAAGCGCTGAGGAGATCGAGCAGGCAGAGCAGGCATTCGCCGCTCAGCAGCGCAGTTTTGAAGAAGCTCGAGATTTCTTTCGACGCGTTAAGACAGCCCGGGAGTTCTACCCCGCGGATGAGGAAACGAAGAAAGGTCACCGCGACAAGCCCTCACGGGGACGGCAATCTACAGTAAGCCCGAGGCCAAACAGCAAGCCGTCCGACAAGGACAAGAGAACATCATCCAGAGACCCGAAGGCGAAGACAAGTCGCAGGGGACTCTGTCTGAAGTGCGGCGGCAATCACGAGACGAAGGATGACATGCCGAGGAGCCAGTCTGCCGACCGTGATCGTGGACCGAAGCAGGGCTTCTCCTCGCTCGTGTTTTACAACATCCAGCGCGACGCCGAGATGGAGGTGACGACGATCAAGCACGACAGGTCGCTGCGCGAACTAGAGGACACGCCGAGCAAGCCAGAGGTTCCGAAGCGCCACGACGAGAAGCTCCCGATCCTGGCCGCGCTGGAAGACGAACGACTGGATGCTGATGAGCGTGCTGGAGAGCGCCCACAGGGGCTTCGGAATCCTGGACATCGGCGCTACATCCTCCATCATCGGGATCTAGGCTGCCGAGCAGCTGCGCGACCTGATCTACGACGCGACGGGCAAGAACATCAAGATGGACACCTCACAGAAGACGACGTTCATCTTCGGCGACGGCAACTCCAAGACCTGCACTGGCAAGGCTACGTTCCCGCTGAACATTGCCGGCGTGGATGGCAACCTGGAGATTGACATCCTGGACGCCGAAGCTCCGTTGCTGATCGGAGTGAGCGTGCTACGACGGCTCGGAGCCGCGATCGACTGCGAGAAGAACGAGATCTATTTCAAGAAGCTCGGTCGCCGAGCTCAGCTGCTCTCCCGTCCGAGCGGAGATTTTGCACTGACTTTAGTGGCCGAAGCAGACTTCGGTTTCGTGGCGACCCTCGAATAGGAGGTCGCGCCCTCAACACCGATCGCTGCGCCGGCGCTGAGGGCAAAACAGACAAAGAGCAGCCACCAGAACGTGAAGCCACACGAGACCCCCCACACGTGAGCCCAGAGGCCCAGGAAGCCCAAGATGATTCTCCAAGGCTCCCAAGACGAGCCCACCTAAGACCGCTGCTTCGGGTGCGTCTTGGAGGCCTACATCACCATCGTTATCCAGATCATCCAGATCATCAACGGGTTTCGGAAGATCACAAACTGCGACTCTTGGAATGTCGGATACGGAAACCTCTAGTACATCGGAAACGGCATCTCCGAGACCAATTACAGCTGCTCCAGGAAATACGATTACAGACACCACTTACGTTAACATCTACTTCGGACTGCTAAAAGGCCGAGACACCTCCTCAAGCTCCCAGACATCCCAAGATTTCCTGGACTCCCTCGAGACCCAGATGCTCCTCCGTCCATAGCAATGTTGGCACGAGCCGAATCTTCGAGCCCAGAGCTCAGCGATTCTCATCAATTTCCACATCCGCATGAGCCTCAGTCGCGAGGCGAAATGCCGCAAAGCCCAGACCCAGGAGGTCAAGGTCAAGGACGAGGAGATTGATGAATTGGAGCCAGTGGACAGCAGTTCGCAGCGGACGTTCTCAGCGACCCAAGGGCGCCCGCGACTGCCTACGGGATGGCCCCCGGGGAAGCTTGTTCGCCGCGCTGGGGCGGACGGGAAGAACTACCTGATGTTCGAGATCGAAGAGAATGCGACGAGGGGCTCGGAGCTGTTCCTGGACAAGCACTTGCCGCGGTGGGAGACGTGGGCGATGAAGCTACATCTAGCCTGGACCTGCACGACGAGATGGGGCAAGGTAATCTGCAAGGCCATCCTGAAGACAACCGAGAATCAGATTTGGAAGCTGGACGGAATGGGACTTCCTGCGCCGCTCTCCCCGACAAAGTTCCCGACCTGGAAGCCAGACGAGAATCCCAGCGTCAAGCAGGAGAAGATTCCAGCTCCCAAGGAGATCAAGAAAAAAGACGGCAGCCATCTCCCAGCAGAACAAGGAGCTTCGCGAAAGCATCGAGATCGCAAGGCCCGATTTCTTGACGAAGTACCAGGACGTGAATGCCCAGAGGAGATCTACAGGCCGTTCAGCTTGATGACGATCGTGAACCACCTCAAGCCGCTCTGCAAGCTCTACGCGCTGACGCAGGGTAGCAAGAAGGAGGAGATCTGCGATCCGCTGGTAGCCTATATCCTTCAGCAGCTGGGCGACGCCAAGCCGACGGTCAAGGTCAAGCAGGAGCAGAAGACGCAGACCAAAAGACAGGGGCCCAAGCCCTACATCCTGGGCGGCACGGTCAAGAGCCAGGTCGCACAGGGTTGCATGGCTCCGGGGTGCCGTGCCGAGCGCGGGACCGCCAAGAACGAGCCGACCATGAAGGTCACCCCCATACGGCTGGTGCCACAAGGTGTGCGCGGAGGAGATCACGCAAAAAGGGTGGACGAAGTTCATGGAGGGCGGGTCCGTTGGAGTGGAGAGATAGCCGACTCCTCGAGGGGCACCAGCGTCTAGCCATCAGGTCTGCGACGCACTGTTTCAAGACCGCCCTGTTCGGGGCCGCGCGCGCCCTCTCTACCTTCGGACGTCTGACCATGGTCGAAGCCTGCGAACCCGAGGACTCCAACCTCGGCCAGATCTGCGAGCAGAAGGGCCTGGAGTCCGCGCGGCTCGGACTACATAACGACTTCGACCTCAGCAAGCCGCAGGGCCATCACAAGGCCGAGTACACTCGACGAGAGTAAACCAGAAATATTTGTCAGCACTCCACCCTGCGGACCGAGGTCGATCACCCAGAATGTCAACCAGCGCACCGACCAGCAGAAGGAGAAAATGCGCAAGAAGCGGCTGAAGAGCAAGCGGATCTTCGAGAACAGCACGCGTCTCATCGAGCACCAGGTCAGCGATCTCAGGGGCTCGGTCATCGCCGAACAGCCGCAGAACAGCCGCCCCCGGCAGAAGACCTGCTGGAAGGATCTACGCAAGCCGCGACCCTACGAGGTCATCGCGGACGGATATGCCCGTTGACTACGAGCCCCTGATACTGGAGAGCTCAAGAAGAAGCGCTGGAAGTTCCTCGCCAACAACAAGCACATCTGGGTAGACCCTCAGCCGCTTCGGTGTCACGGAGGACACTAGCATGAGGAGATTGAAGGAAGCTACCGAACCGAAGCCTCTGGAAGATATCCGAAGATGCTCTGCCGAAGATTCATGACTGAGGGCACTTACCCGCAACGTCAACTTGAGCTTCTTCGAAGAGGAGATCGTGAACTGCCACTGCTTGGCAGCTACCCAGCAGCCCCCCGCGGAGCCGACCCCGAAGTCGGCAGAGGAGCTGCTACCACCTAAGGACGGGAAGGACTCCCTCGGCTCAACGAAGCAGGCGATCAAGAAGCTGGAGAGCTACGCGAGACTGGCCCACACCAATCTGGGACACCTTCCACGCGCTGATCTCATTCGCTATCTCCGAGACCGAGGTGCCCGACCCGCAGTCCCACGGGTCGCTCGCAACTTTAAGTGCGACATCTGCAACGCACACCGACCACCTGCGAAGCGGCCACCAGCACCATCAGCAGAATTACCGCAGAATGATCACGAAGTTCTATGTGACGCCTTCACTTGGATTTGTCGCAGCACGAACACCAGCACCATGGCGCTCGCGGCTCTGGACGCGGGTTTCAGCATCCTCTACGTGCGTCTGATCGAGAAGAAGAAGGTACCAGAACAACGACGTCAAGTACAAGCTGGAAACATACGACCGACGTTCGTCACCACATGGTTCCCATGGACGGGGCGCCCAAAGGTCATGCGCTACGGCCCAGCTGGCAGCGCAGTCTCCGACGGGCTCAGGGAGCGGGTCGAGAGCCAAGGCATCTACTGCCTCCCGTGCGCTGCTGACGCACCCTGGCAGATCGGGGAGATAGAGCGCGCCATCGAAGCCTTCAAGGAAGCTCTCGACACCTTCGACGAGATAACTCTGCCGACGTGTCTACCAGCGAGATGTTCGGCCCCCAGACGGTAGCCCGCAACGATCTCACGAGGATCGACGGCCTCAGCCCACTTCAGCGCTACGCCGGAAGGACGCCTACGGGGAAGGACTGTCAACCTCGACGACGAGCCGAACAATCTCCCGCTCATCAGCGCAGAGCTACAAGACAGCACGTTCGCCAAACATGCATAGATACGTCGACGATCCCAATTGGCCCACGCCCAGACCTAGAACTCCGATTGAGTCAAGAGGGCAGAGGTGGCGAAGGTCCGGTCTTTCAAGAAGTACAACTGCGGGGACTTAGTCTCCGTCTACCGCGGGCCCCCACCTGGAGCCTGGGGGAAGAAGGGACAACCGCGATCCATGCCCGGACGAGGAAGATGGCACGGGCCTGGATCAACAATTTGCCACGAACCCGCTAGCCCTGGGCACCGACCTGGTCTACCTGGCGCAACCGTGAACATTATCCTGGCAGGACGGCTCTACCGAGTTGCACCCGAACAGCTACGGTCAGCCACCCTCCTGAAGAAACTATGGACGCACTCCGATCTCGGAGCGAACAGCCAGGCACCTGGACGTTCGGGGAGGCACAGAAGCAACTCGACACCAACGAGGTGATCGACCTCACCAACGAGCCGCCACCCACCAGTGACGACCTCGCCTACGACGACGGGGAATCTACGAGCGCTCCGACGTTCGGGCACAACCCAAGTGGACCCTGGGCCGTGGATGAAGATGACGACAGGCCTCCACTATCTCAAGGAGTACCTCGGGTTTACGCACCTGGAGGCGGAGGAGGAGTCACGTCATCGTCAGCGGCACGACCAGAACCATCACCACCAGTACCTACGAGACGGCTGCGACAGAAGAAAATTCGTGGACGCCCGAGGAGCCACTGGAGCCACTCATTCAAGATGCACCACCAGAGCCACCACCTGGACTCGAGTCACCTGCTGAAGGACCACCTGCAGAAGAAGCTGAAGGTCCAGCCGAAGCCGACGAGGAAGCTTCACAGATCGACCCGAAGGACGATGACATGGAGGATAAGGCATCACAGAAGCCCTCCCCTGACGGCTCCGAAGCTGGAGAACTGGCGGTAGATCCTGAATCTGAGGAAGCTCGATCAGAACTACCTCAGAAGCGGACTGTGGACACCGACGAGATGACAGAGCTCCCCGTCAAGAGGTCCAGGATCAGCGCCGCAGTTCAGGGGGACTTCACCTACTATTTGCAGGAGGGTAACTTCTACAGTGATTACGCCTACAGCACCCGGCAGCACGACGAGACCAAGGAGGAGGACGAGCTGATCGCGTTGGAGATTCCAGTTAACAACGAGCACGTCTTCATGACTTCGAGGACCCGAGCAACCTTGTGGCCTCGCAGGCTCGCAAGGGTCGAGTGGGAGTGTTTTTTTTTTTTTAATCATAAAAAAAAAAAAAAAAAAAAAAAAAAAAAAAAAAAAAAAAAAAAAAAAAAAAAAAGCAACGCCAGAGGAAAAGAAGATGCTACTTGAGGCCCAGCAGAAGGAGTGCACATCCGTCCTCAGCACCAAAGCCGCAGGGACCCCCAGCCGAAAGGGCATAGATCCAGCACGTCTTCTACGCTGCCGTTTCGCGCTCGCCTGGAAGAAGGACGAACAAGGTAAAGTTCTATGAGGCAAGGCTCGACTCGTGGTACTCGGTTTCAGCGATCCTGATCTGCTCCACCGACGTACAGAATCACCTGTCGCTTCACGACGCGCTCGCCAGCTTCTACTAGCTCTGGTCGCCAGGCACAAGTGGCTACTGGAGAAGGCCGACGCAGCGACAGCATTTCTTCAAGGAGAGACCGACGAGGAGAAGCGGATGATCTACGCCGACCCGCCCAAGGATGTTCGCCAGGCCTTCGGCATGAAGGAGGACGAGGCGCTGCAGATTCTCCAACTGACGTACGGGTTCGCACACGCACCACGGCAGCGGTGGCTACATGTCAAGGAGACTCTCAGCAAGCTTAGGCTTGAGGCCATCCAGTGTGAGCCCTGTGTCTGGGTCATCAGGGACGGCGACGGCAAGCCGATCTGCATGGTCATTCTACACGTAGACGATATGATGACCGCCGGAAATCACACTGACAAATCCTCCCTGCTGAAGCGGAAGGAGATTCAACAAGCTTTCGAATGGACACCATGGGAGAGCAAGGCTTTCGTTCAATGTGGAGTCAGCAACCACCAGAACGATGACTTAACGTGCAGCCTCGCCCAGGACACCTACAGCATGAACGTAGAGCCGATTCCTATCAAGCGCGGCAGGAAACCTACTGACGGAGTTTCCGATCGCGAACGCTCTGATCTACGGGGACGGCTTGGCACCGTGGGCTGGAGAGCGCAGCAGCCAGCACCGTGGTTCAGCCCCGAAGCTTCACTACTACAAGCCGGGATTCTTACCGCGACGGTCTTCACGATTCAGAAGATCAACAAGCTCATCCGCACTACAAACGACACCGCTGACGTCATCATGGTTATGCCTGCCAACGAGAAGCTGGCAGTTGTCGGCTGGGGCGACGCCGCATGGGCAGCCCGGATCAGAGGAGAATCCCAAGGAGGCGAGATGATCGTGCTGGCACCGCTATCGTTTCTAGAAGGATCCACAGAGACAGTGTCGCCTATCTCCTGGAGATCATGTAAGTTGCCACGCGTTGCCAGAAGCAGTGCGAGTGTCGAGGTGCAGATGATGACGGAGACGCTCGACGAGATCAGCTACGTGCGACTGTTCACCTACGAGCTAGAGTGCGGCCACGTGGATTATACCAACGAGCAGGCCGTGAACGACGCCATCTCAACCTGCCCTGGAGTCCTGGTCACAGACGAGAAGTCTGGGTACGACGCCATCGAGAAGAGCGAGTCTGCTGGACTGGGTCTTCGAGATAAGAGGACCAGTATCGAGTGCCTGGGCATCAGGCAGCAGAAGCAGCAGACAAGGCTCCAGATTCGTTGGGTTCACAGCGATGCTATGCTAGCCGACGGTCTCACTAAGGACCGCGCGGCCAAGGCCCTGTAGAGTTCTTCAGAAGCGGACAGCGCTGGCGGCTAGTGGACGATCCTCTCCATCGGTCAGCCCGCAAAAATAAGTCCCAGGGCATCGACAAGTTAGATCACGGCATCCCGCTGGATCCCGACCACGCCATGGAAGCCCTGGTGTACTTCTCACGTGACGACGAGTCCCAGCAGGTTGAACCTGCCGGACATGAGGTCCTCCGGGCCGGGTGAGCCCTACCACACGCTCTGTGCTTTCTGCGAGTTCAGGAGGTAAGGCCAGGCTTTTAATTTACCTGGAATTCACAAGCCCAGAGCCTACCTCCCTGTGCCTACTTACGACAGATGGCCCATGCAGGCCCGAGTTTAAGACAAGGCTCTAAGAAGGCCAGTACATACTATCCATATTATGTAAGTCCGCGTTCCCTGGCGCAGCAGGTCCCTTTTTATATCTCTGTTTCTAGCCTAGCCATGCTTAATGATCTCCCCAAGGTGCCCTAGGGAGCACCAAGCCCTAGAGGCTTCTTCTTAAGTGTTTCACACGTTCCCAAAACGTTTCCTCCGAAACCGTCTTGGCTCAAGCTTTTCACAGCGACAACTGGTCGCTGGACTCCTGGTGTGCGCCTGTGAAGCGCAAGACTGTGAGCTGGCCCGCCACAGCCCGAAACAGCTCCCTTCTATCACCACGCGCGTCCAGCGACGTGCTTCCCCCACTGCTCGCACTCCAACCTCATCGAGATCGAGAGTGACAAGCACATCGTCAGGTGAATAGAGGAGGATAGCATCCAAGGATTCACCAAAGGGCAGTGGTTCGAGGCGGGACCATTGCATACCTCTCCTCCTCCTCCTCCTCCTCCTCCTCCTCCTCCTTCTCCTCTTCGTCCTCCTCCGCGTCCTCCTCCTCCTCTTCCTCGTCTTCCTCCTCCTCTTCCTCCTCCTCCTCCTCCTCATCGTCCTCCTCCTAATCCGCCTCCTCCGCCTCCGCCTCCGCCTCCGCCTCCTTCTCCTCCTCCTCCTCCTCCTCCTTCTCCTCCTCTTCCTCCTCCTCCTCCTCCTCCTCCTCCTCCTCCTCCTCCTCCTCCTCTTCGTCCTCGTCCGCGTCCCTCCTCCTCCTCCTCCTCCTCCTCCTCCTCCTCCTCCTCTCCTCCTCCCCATCGTCCTCCTCCTCCTCCGCCTCCTCCGCCTCCGCCTCCGCCTCCTCCTCCTCCTCCTCCTCCTCCTCCTCCTCCTCCTCCACCTCGTCTTCTTAGTGCTCTTCTTAGCATTAATAATACCATTACTATATCATTCGTTTTCGTCTCATTCATAATATTATTCTTAATAGTTTTTTTGTTATGAGTATGATTAGTCGTATTATTGCTATTCGTCGTACTTGTAGTAGTAGTCTCATCAATAGCATAAACATTATTATTATAGTACTACTATTATTAACATTACCAGTACGATTCGTATTACTAGTATGATTGATATTATTAGTAGTATTGGTAGTATTGGTGTTGTTAATTGTTTTGGTAGTATTAGTAGTATTCGTATTCTTAGTATCATTAGCATTATAATTGTGTATCTGTTTGGTAGTAATAGTAGTAGTACTAGTATATGGTTATTCGTGTTGGTATTATTAGTAGTACGATAATTAGTATCATTAGTACTACTCATAGTGTTGTTATTATGATGGGTATCATTATCATTGTTATTAGTAGTAGTAGTAGTAGTAGTAGTAGTGGTGGTAGTAGTAGTAGTAGTAGTAGTATGATTAGTACTGGTGTTATTGTTCGTATTGTTGTTATTATTATCCGCATCATTAGTATTATAAGTATGGTTATTAGTAATAGTAAGAGTAGTAGCATTAGCAGTAGTGTTATCAGTATTAATATTACTATTATTACTATTGTTAATATGATCAGCATTATCCCTATTCTTGCTGGTATGATTAATACTAATAGAAGTAGTAGTATTACTACTACTACTACTAGTATTAGTACTACTATTCTTAGTATTGATATCAGCATTATTAGTGTTAATATTATTGTTAATCGTATTATTATCATTCGTAATATAATGATTCGGATTCCTCGTATTACTCGTATTATTAGTATTACGATTCGTCTTCGCATTGTATTAATAATCGTATGCTTACTATGAGTCGACGTATTTTTATTGTTGCGCTTATGTTTTGTATTATTATCATTGTTATTATTGGTATTATGATTCGTCCTATTATTATTCGTATTATTCGTAGCAATATTCTTCTCCTTTATAATAATATTATTATTCGTCTTCTTATTCGTATTATTATTCGTGTGTTGCTTCGTCGTCTTATTATGACTCGTCTTCTTATAAGTATTACTATTATTATCATTATTATCATTCGTCTGCTTATTATTATTCCTCCTCCTCCTCCTCCTGCGCCTCCGCCTCCGCCTCCGCCTCCTCCTCCTCCTCCTCCTCCTCCTCCTCCTCCTCCTCCTCCCCCCCTCCCCCTCCCCCTCCGTAGCCATTTTGGCTCAAGTCCGTAGCGGGAGGCCCAGTGAGCTGAGGGTGGCAAGAGGGAGGTGCGCCCCCACCTGCGATCACTGGACCAGCGTCCAGGTGTGTGTGTGTGTGTGCACACGTGGTCGTCGGTCCACCCAGTGATTGTAACTGTCGCCTTTTGGCACGTCTTCTCTTTCTGTGAGCTCCTGGCGGAGCCCATGGGCAAGGACGCAGCCAAAGGCTACATCTCGTGCTCGAGCTGTCGCTATCGCTGGAACTGGAAGACGCGCACGCAGTGTTTCTCATGCGGATGTGCGCTGGTGCCGTCGCCGCGAACGCCGCCATGGCAGCAGGCCAAGGGGTGTGGGCGTCTGGGACAGGCTCGGGCGGAGGTCAGCAGGCCCCAGCCCAACCGCCATGTTCCTGGGCGCCCAGCCGCATAAAGGTGCCCAAGGCGCCAACGCCCACGCAGCGTGGCGCAGGCAAGCAAACGGTCGCTGAGCTCCTCGCCCAGCTCCAACAGCACGTCGGCCAGGCCGCGGGCGAGCAGGAGCTGCAAGCCTTGGCGCAGGCGGTGGCGCCGTCCGAACCTGCGCAGCCTGCGCGGGCGCCGGTGCTGGAGGAGACCATCAGCGCTAAAGGAGTGGCCCGCAGGCGGGCCGAGAAGGCCTTGAGCAGGCTGTCGCGAGGGAGGACGGGGCGAAGCTCTGGCTGGTGGAGTGCAGCCAGAAGACGCGCGAGGCGGCTGTCCTGGCGGTGCAGACCAAGTCCGAGTGACAGGCCGAGCTCAAGGCGAAGTTACAGAAGACCCGCGAATCATCACCTGGCTCGCCATCGCTGAGGTCGGCCCCGGACATCCCGACAGGGTCCCAGATCAATACGTCGCAGCTGCTGGGTGATGAGAGCGGCGTCGAAGCGGTCGAGATCGTGGACGGCGACATGCTGGACCTCAGTGACCTTGAGGTGGGGGAAGACGACAGGCGGAAGTGGCTCGCTCTCATGGGCAGCATCGCGGCCGAGATCTTGACGGCGACGCTGTCAGCCATCGGCCCCAGAGCCGACAACACCCAGCGGTTCATGACCGATGCCCGCGACACGCGCAAGCGCCTCGCGACCAAGCGAGCCCGCAAGGACGAGAGCCCGAAGGACGCCGCGGGCAGTGGATCGCCACCCCCCAAGGTGGCCGAGGCTCTGCCAGCAGATCCTGCCGACGCCCCTGGCGCTGAGCCTGCAGCGCCCGGGGCAGCAGGAGCCTTTGCCTCTGGGCCCGCTCCTAGCGGCCAGGAGCTGGAGGCAGCAGTCGAGGCGGCCAGAGCCAAGCTGGCAGAAGGTGAGCAGCAGCGCCTTTCGGCCAGACGAGGCAGGTCGCCAACTGATGGGCAAGCCGCCGCTGGGGATCCCGCCGCAAGAGGGCCCCGACAGGAGCAGCAGGGAGTTTGTCCAGCCGGTGACCGATTGGAGCGCGCGCTGGGTCTGGGATTTAGAGCGCGGGATGTCGCTGGACAGCGCGTCCTGGCAGCACTGGTGCGAGGAGTACCTCAACAGCTTTTTGCGCGAGGACTCCAGAGCTGAACTTCGGAGGGCCCGTGCGCGGGCACATCGGTCCCACCCGATGGGGCCACGGCCAGGACCCCAGGGGGGCTCGAGCAAGTCGTATCTGAAGCGCGCCGAGAGGCCTGGCGGGAGGCCACGGGCCGCCGCAGGGCCCTGCGCGAGGTGAGCTACCAGCCCAGGCGTAGCAGGCCTTTGCTGAACACCACTGGGGCGGACTGCGACGTCTACTGGGCTTTGTTCAGGGACCCGCTGGCAGGGCGACGGCGAGCTGACTTTTCGGGGCTGGTGGTCCCTGGGGAGCCCAGCGCAGGGCAGACCCTGCCTTGGATCGGGGCCGCAGACGCGCGGGCGGCCGATTCCCTCGATCAGACCCAGCCCCCACTCTGATCTGCAGACTCGCAGGCCAGGTTGGAGCGGCCCTCCCCCAGAAGCGCCCTGCCAGCAGTCGGGGCCGCAGCAGGTCCTGAGGGAGCCCACAGACGGGCAGGCCTCGAAAGGGAGCAGCGGGCCTTGGATCGAGGCCGCAGGCGCGCGGGTGGTCGAGGCCCTCGATCAGGCCCAGCCGACGCCCTGGGCTGCCGACGGGCAGGTGGTCGATGCTCCAGGGCGCCGCGGCTCCCAAGGCGCGGCGGGGCGCGGCGTTCTCGCCCCCGGGGCGCCCGTGGCGGGGCAGACCCTTAAGGAGGTAGGAGCAGGGTGCTGGATCGAGACCGCAGACACGCGGGTGGCCGAGGCCCTCGATCGCACCACTCACTCGCCCCCCGGCCGCGGGTGCGCGGGCGGGCGGGGCCCCGGTCGCGGGATGGGCCCATTGCGTGCGCCGGCAGCCGCGAGAGGGAGCCTGCACGTGGTGAGCTGTGGCTGCAGTTCGTGACCGACGGCTCAGGGATGCCCCAGATTTCGCAACAAAGGAAGAGGGGTCTCATTTCGGGGGGGTCTCTTCCAGGCCATCTTGGAGGGCCTGGGGGGGTCTGGGGACGATGTTTTGGAGGGTTATCCCACGGGGGGGGGTCTGAAATGGCTTGTATTGGCGGGTCCAGACCCCCTCCCTTTTATTACGAAATCTGGAGTACATGGAGCGGGCCCGCGAGGTTCACAAAACAGCGCATGATGCCTTGTTCTTTGAGGGGCATCGATCGGAAGCACCACAGATCAAGACGGCCCGCAGCTGGCGCCACAAGGCGGGCCACGTGGCATGGTTTGCGTCTGCGGCGAGAACGAGCGCAGAGGCGCGCGAGACATCTGGGGGCACGGCCATGTTGAGCAAGACAAACTTTGGCAGTTGTGAATACGTGCCTGACCGGTGGACTGAGCGGCTCTGCATTATCACGGTGCTGTGTCGATCTACGGCCACGCGACCCTAGGATTGGCAGGTGCCAACATTTCCTTTTTTGAAGAGCTCAGTGAAGCGGTTGCCGCTGCTGGCTGCCCTTCTGTCATAGATGGTGATTGGAACACTGGCGCTGGGAAGCTGATAGAGCTCCAGTGGGCAGATCATCTCGGGGCCACGGTCGCGAGACCCCAGGAGTACCACATCCAAGATTGTGCAGAGCAGGCTGACACGCCCGCGGGGCCGCACTCTGCTGTCGCGCTGAAGTTGCAGCAAGTGGCTGGACAGGCCACTGTGCGGCAGCGAGTGGTTCCGAGGTTTTCCCCCACCCCAGAACGATGAAGAGAAACCCCGCGTGAAGCGTGAGCCAGGCCTGCAGGAGCTCCCGCTTGAGTGGGAGACAGCCGAGCCCCAAGTCGCAATCGAGCGCTGGTTCACTGCGGCCGAGGCGGCGCTTGGACGCCTGCATGGCATTGAAGATCGCCAATGTTTTGGCAGGGCCAAAGGATGCAAGGTCCAGTTGGTACCGCTCGAGGCGTCGTGGGGACAGGAGTTGCACAGGCGCCACCATACCCTCACCCAGCGATGGCTGTCGCTGCGTCGCCTAGCCCTGCAATACATGAAAGCCAAATCTGCAAATCGGCGGGGGCACCTGCTTGCCTCAGCACTGCCGTCGCAAGACCTCCTGGCGGGGGTTGAGGACGAGCTGGTGGCGCCGCTAACTATAGGGCAACTTTTTCGAGGGCTGGACGGGCCGAGCTGTTCGGAACTCGCAGACGCGATCCACGCAAGGTTAATTGCAGAGCGCAGCAGGAGACAGCGGAAGGCCGAAAGAGATGGAGGGCGCGGGCCCAGTCTGCTGTTTTGCGAGGAAGTCGGGCGGCTCACAGGTACTCGAAGGGCCCTTCTTCCTCCGCCGATGCCTGTTTTCTCCGATTGACCCTCTGGCCCTCCGGCTGCCATCGCGGCCGCGGATGGAGAAGGCGCCGAGGGCGCGGGGGCCGTGGAGGGCATTCGGCCGCTAGGGGGCCAAGCGGCACTCGATCGCATTGCACGTGACTGGATCCCAATTTGGACCAAACCCCCCAGAGCCTCGAAGGACATCCTGGTGGGTGGTCGGTCCCTGACGACCTCCCGCCCATCGCGGCTGACCAGGTGCTGGCGGCCGCGGCCTCTTTTAGTCCCTCGACGGTCCTTGGTTGGGACGCGCTTAGTCCTCGCCTCCTCCTGCAGCTCCCCTGGCCCACGGTGGAAGCGATTGTGGGGGGGGTCTGAGGGCCCCTCCCCCTCTGGGCCAGAGTACGGAGCCGCATCCGTCATGGCCTGCGTGCGGCACTGGAAAAGACCGTTGACGAAAAGTTGTTCTGGGGGCGCAGCTCTAGCACGGCTTGCGACAAGAGCGCTTGGGTCCACAATGCCCTGAACGCCTACACCGGGTCGATCCCAGGGCTGGAAACGGCGACGCCTCTCGTAGACCTGCTGAAGTTGTACGAGCATATTTCGCGCGGCGAGCTGCTGGCAGCGGCCCGTGCCAATTCTCCCCCGCTGGCTCTGCAGCGGGCCTACTGTCGCCTGTGCCGGGAGCCTCGGCGAGTGACCTGGCAAGGGGCCATCAGTCGAGAGCTCCAGCCGAATGGCACAGCCATTGCTGGCTGCTCCGGGGCCACCACCTTCGCACGCTTGCTTCTGCCCGGCGCCCTCCGCAGGGCAGCGGCAGGGGGCCCCGCGGTGCGCATCAATAATGTCACTGGTGACTTCTCACTGCATGCAGTTGGAGGAGAGCAGGTCACTCGAGAGCTGGTCGCGCCTTTTCGTTCGCCGACCGCCGACCTGCAGCAAATGGGGCTCCCCATGCCGAGAGCAAGCTAGGCCTACTGACATCCTCGACAGCCCTGTCGGACGAAGTACCAGGCTGCGCAGCTTGCCTCCGTCGGTGAGAGCCCAGGTCCATAGGGATCTAGGAGGCGACGCCACGGACGGCGCTAGACGGAGGGTCAGCACCCAGCACAAGCGTTTTTCCGAGGCCCAGCAAAAAGTTGCCAAGGTCCTCTCGCTGCGGAACGCAGGGGCCCGGCGCGGGTCGACCTCTAGGGCTGGGATCACTTCGAAGGCACTCTGGGGAGCCAACAGTCAGGGACTCCCCAATGGCAAGCTGAGGTGGCTTCGCATGGCTTCGCTCAGGGCGGAGGGGAGACCCCCGAAAGGATGCCCCCTAGAATTGGCCTCCATGCGTGCTCGAGGAGGCTGGGTCAGAGATCCGTTGGTCGTCATTGCGGCTGACGCCCTCCGCACTTACAGCCAGATTCTGAAGGGCCAGCGCCTAGCGCCTGTGGCGTTGTGGTCGCTTTTCGACCATGGCAAGGAGCCACCCCTGCAGCCTCGGCCTTGGGCATGCGTGCGAGACCTCATTGCAGCCCTTCTCCCTCCTCGCGTGCGAGTTGGGCTCGTTTTCAACGAGCCGTGGACCTTACGTGAGACCGCGGGAGAGGAATAAGACCTTCGCCAGGCGCCCCCAGCGATAGTGGCTAAGAGGAAAGCGAAGCTCGCAGCCAGGCGTCTCTCTGACCGCGAAGGCCTGGCCAAGATTGACCGAGGATAAGGATGGTCAGGCGACATGTTCTGGCGATCCCTCAATAAACTAGTACACCGCAGGTGAAAGGCCTCGCTCGAAGAAGAAGCTGGGGCGTCGGACGGGCGGTGCGGGATTCGGGTAGTCATTGGCTCGCATTGGTGTCACGCGAGGCTGAAATTCAGTTGCCAGCGCAGTGCCTCATTTGCGGGGACGTTTGAGGCCGCCTGTTCCATCGCCATCTCGAGTCCCCAGCCCGCCAAGCATGGAGTAGGGACTTCCTCCCGCAGGACCTGGTAGCCTCGGCTAGACGCTTGCAAGCTGGGCCCGAGCATTTTCAAGAGCGTTTTTCTACAGGGATCCTGCCTAACCCGTGCCAAGCCTTCTCCCGCCCCTGGTGGAACCCAGAGTGGGAGCTCAAGGTTGAAGGGCTTGCTCCGCCCCTGGCTTTGGACGGGGGCTATGTCTTTTGCGATGGCTCAGGGGTCGACGGGCTGTTTCCGTCGTTTCGGGTTGCTCGCTGGGGAGAGGCAGTCTATGATCAAGAGTGCCGGACCATAGCGGGGTGGCATGGAGCGGTCCCCCCGCATTTGGGCCCCGACCAAATAGCTCGTGACGGGAAAGATCATGCTGCGCGCATGGCCCTGAAGCATTTAGTAGGCAGATATACGATATATCCCGATTGCAAAGGAACGGCTCAGTGCTGTTGGGATGCGAAATATGCGCCGCGGCCTAGCAACACCAGAGCCCATTTGCGGAAGGAGGCGGTTCGAGGAGGAAGGCCTGAGCTGGTGGATTTCTGCAGGGTAGCGGCCCACACCTTTATGGCTGACGTTCGAAATGGACGGGTCAGCCTTTTCGAGAGGGAGGGCAACGACCAAGCCGATAGACTTGCAAAGGCGGGGGCTGAGCTGCGCAGATGCACGAACAACGTGGTCCTGATGGCCAAAGGTGATGCTCCATGTTTCGCGGCTGCTACTCCAGTTCATTAGCAGGGCAGAGACCCACTATTCCGACGAGAGCCAGTGGGACAATGCAGGGGCCCAGGGGCTCACGATGATCTCCCTGGAAGGGGGATCGGAAATGGAGGAGGCGCTTGCTGAGGCTAGGAGGAGGTCTGGTGAGGAGGGGGAGGTTCGGTCTGCCGTTGCTCCTGCCTAGCCTCCCCAGGACCCTCCTGCGCCCTCGCGCCATCCCCAAGAGCCCCTGGCGCCAGAGCTGATGGCACAAGCGTTCGACGCCCAGCTGTCCCCTGCGTTCATAGGCGGACACGCCCTGCTGGAGTTCTCGATCATGACCGAAGGTCAGCCATCGATCCTTTTTTTGCTCGACCTATGGGGCCCACGCCACGGTCTCTGCAGAATCTCGGGGCCTCAAAAGGGGATGCAAAGGCTCCCAGCATGACCTGGTGGACCGTAGCAGGAAGAACTCGAGGGCGGTATTCAGAGGGAAGCACCCCAACAGGCCTCTCAAGCTGGGCCCTCGGAGAACTCCTGGGGCCTGGGCGCGGGAGCTGGTTGGGAGAAAGGAGGAGCCCAAGAAGGCCCAGCAGAGAGGAAGTTGCTCTTTAAGGCCCGAAGCTGGCCGCGTTGCAATTATGTGCTTGGCTGATGTCCTCCAGGCCTTTGCGCTGAACGAGTCCGAGGCTGCCGAGTTGGGGCCAAAGCTGCAAGAGCGTACCCCAGACAACGATCTGGAGGACGCGGAGGCGGTCTGTTGATAACCAGGGGGGGCCCTGTCGTTGGCCCCTGGCAGGTCGGTGTCTCTCCTGCCAGGGTGACAAAAAGGTCCACTCCAAAGGGCCCCCCTGGGTTTTTTGGACCGTCGAACCTCTTCCCCCCCTTTCCCCTCAGTGGCGTGCGATCCTCCTCCTCCTCCTCCTCCTCCTCCTCCTCCTCCTCCTCTCCCTCCTCCTCCTCCTCCCCCTCCCCCTCCCCTCCTCCCTCCTCCTCCTTCCTCCTCCTCCTCCTCCTCCTCTCCTCCTCCTCCTCCTCCCCCCCCCCCCCCTCCCCCTCCCCCTCCCCTCCCCCTCCTCCTCCCCTCCCCTCCTCCTCTCACCCCCTCTGCCCCTTCCCGATCCCTTCCCCCTCCGTCCGCCCCCTCCTCCTCCCCCCTCCTTCTGCACATCCCCTCATTCTCCCAGCGTCCCCCCCGCCAAGCACCAAGGCCTGGGCGTCGGGTGGCACCCGGCGCGCCGGGGGCGGGTGTGGAGGGCGGCGGACCTAGGGCCGAAACGACCTCGGAGCGGCCAACGCCCAGCTGGACAGCGGGAGGACGGAGCGAGGGCATCCTCGCCTCCCCCGACCCCCCAGCACGCATCCTCCTTCTGCCTCCTGCCTCCTACCTTTTGCCTTCTCTGCCTCCTGCCTCCTCCTTCCCCTCCTCCTCCTCCTCTTCATCCTCCTCCTCCTCCTCCTCCTCCGCCTCCGCCTCCGCCTCCGCCTCCGCCTCCGCCTCCGCCTCCGCCTCCTCCTCCTCCTCCTCCTCCTCCTCCTCCTCCTCCTCCTCCTCCTCATCCACCTCCTCCTTCTCCTCCTCCTCATGCTCCTCCTCCTCCTCCTCCTCCTGCTGCTTGCCCTCCGCAGGCAGGCAGATGCGTCAGCGCCTATAGTGATGCTAAATAATGTGGTTGATCATGCCTCCTTCCATGCGGTCGGCAGCAGAGGAATCGTCGCTCGTGAGCTCCCCAAGGCCTTCAACACGGTGGCCGAGGGGATGGTGGCCAAAGGTCTTCCGATTTCCTGGGGCAAGGCGGGCTTCCTGACCAGTTCGACCGAGCTTGCCGTCCAGCTGTGCGAGTCCTGGGACATGGACCTCAAAAACCGTGGCCAGTCTCACAGTGATTTAGGGGGTTCCGTCGCGTCACGACCCACTACGACAGGTACCTTTCAGCGAATCGTCGCGCGCTTCGCCTCCGCACCCTGCAAGGTGGAGGCGCGAAGATATTTCGGGTCCACAGAACGGGGCCGTCTGAGGTTGCTCTGTGGGGCTCTTGTGTGCACGGCTTGGCTGACACTCGTATGCACAAGCTTCGGATCATGGCAGCCAATGCGGAAGGCCGCCTGCCCAAAGGGGCGCAGAGATCCGCTGGTCGTCACCACGGTTGATTGCATGAAGCAGTATGCTGAAGTGCTCTGGGCAGGCCAGCTGTCCGGGCCTGTGCTCCAGGCCCTATCCGACGATGGTCAGGGGCAAGCTGCCAAGGAGCGGCCATGGGTTTCATGCAGGGACCCTGTGGCCGCCCTGATGTGCTCAGAGGGTGGGCTGGAGGTTGGCGGGGCCAACTTTGGCGGTGGACGATTTGGGTCGGGAGTAGGATCTCATGTTTTACTCCCCTGCCTGTGTCGCGGACCAGATCCAGCACGCAGCCAGGCGTGCGTCGAATGTTAGAGCGCTAGCACTGCAAGACAGACAACAATGGAAGGCACCGCTCTTTTGGCGCCCCCTCCTCGAGGCGATGTCTTGCGACTGGGAGCCAGAGCTCTCACAGCACCAGCAGATGGCTCTCACAGGTTTGGTCTCGGGCGCGTTTTGGACCCAAGGGCGTCCCGAGTGTTTGGGGAGAGCAGTTCGCGAAGGGCGTCTGTCCTGATCCAGCTGTGCGTGGCTTACCCCACCTTTGACCAGCAGTGGGCGCTGCGGGGAACAGGGATCGAACTTCCTCTCCTCCTTGAGGGTGATTTAGCCGACTGCCAACGCTGCGCACCACAGGCTGGTCTTGCGCCTTGTTCTCGGCCGACCGAATCTTTCTGGGAGCGGTATATGGCGTGGTCCCTCCGGAGTTCTCGGCCACTTTCTCGGCCCGCGACGGCGAGGAATATGATATGATGATGTTATTCCTACACGTATGCGGGTCGTCAAGCGCTTTTTCTGGCTGCAACGCCACTCTTTCCTGCTGCGCCTGCCAGCAGAAAGACATGTCGGTGGCTAACCCGCGCGCCCACATGTGACGCCGTGTGCACGCGAGAGAAGACTTCAGTCAGAGGCGATGCTCGCATGTGAAATGCCACCGCAATGTGCGCCATGTCCGTGAAGGGCTTCTGTCGCAGTTCGAGCTCGAAAAAAACCAGCAGGCAGATCATTACGCGAAGTTGGGGGCCAGTTTCGGGGCCTCGTCGGAAATAGATGTGCTGTTTCTCGAAGGTTGCCTGGAGGTTGCGTCCCAAGCCACCAAGGTCAGTGCCAGGCTTGCCACCAGGATGGTAGACCTGGACATGCACGACCATCAGGGTCTCGATGCGATCAGATGGATAGACTTCGGCACGATTGCCGACAGTTGTTCGCACTCTGATCTCGACGAGGCCTACCGAGTGTACGACGGGGCCCCACCACCACCCCCTGGTCCCTCGTCCCCTCCTCCTGCTGACCTTCCTGCTGCCGTTGCTGCTGCCCAGTCGGGTGGGAGGGTGGAGGCCGAGGTGGTCCAAGAGGCTGGAGACGTCGGTGATGCTGAGGTTTGGGAAGATGAAGGTTTTTGGCTCGGAGAGCTCAGGCCCTGGGCGCTTTGGGGCCACTTTATTTTGGAAGCTGGCGTGCCAGGCAAGGATACGCTCCTGTCTTGCGCGACCTGCTGTCATTTTGTGGTGGACACGGCCACTGCCACTACTGCTACCTACGACTACGACTACGACTACGAAAACGACTACGACTACGACTACGACTACGACTACGACTACGACTACGACTACGACTACGACTACGACTACGACTACGACGACTACTACTACTACTACTACTACTACTACTACTACGACGACTACGACTACGACTACGACTACGACTACGACTACGACTACGACTACGACTTACGACTACGACTACGACTACGACTACGACTACGACTACGACTACGACTACGACTACG